AAATGTTATTGTTATGATATTGTCTGGAAATAATTAACCTGTAAATCTAATTTATATACCGGTTTTATACCATTGTGGCATATATTTGACATTTACTGGTAAATGGCAAAAAATAGCTTTTAATTGTGACAAAATGACAAAACAGTTTCTTAAGGAACAATGTGGTTATACAGTTATATGTAAAATGTAATAATCACTTTATTTAGCCAAACGGTACATTGCTGTTAATCATGAAAACAGTGTGCAGCTTGAGTTTGTGGTTTATTGCTTAAGAGGGGTGTGGCACAGCACAGTAGAATATTTTCTCACACATACTGTGATATCACATTGTTAGTTTCGTAGAAGACGTTTGGGTTGAACAAGAATATTGCACAAAGGAAGTAACATGTACCATTAGATACTCAGTTGCTGCATGCTGATAAGATCAGGTCAGAACAGGTCACATGTACTGTAGACTCTTTTAGACATTTTAACTGACACCAGCATTATACTGAGATACAACAGTTTTTAGATGTACTGTAAGTTGTTTCATTTTCATGTGTTAAGGAAATGTTATGACAGAACTTTCAAAAGTGGCTGAATGAGCACACTCACCTGCTTTTTTGACTGGCTCCGGCATCCTGAATGATCTCCTCTCCTCCACAGTGTGACTCACTGTTCCTAAACAGTCTGCTGTGTATATGTTGACCCCTCTGCCTTTAATAGTGCTGCCCCCAACCCCTTTCATGAACCATCCCACCTCTCCTGACTTATTTTTTCCTTGGCTCGACGTAATGTCCAAAAACACAACAACCACCCCCTCGGCTCGTGCTCCCCATCCCAGCAGCAACCCGGCCCCCAGACCACCCCCGCTCACGTCTGACCTCGGACTATATTTCAACCATCCTTTCCTCCAACACCTCGGCTGAATGATAGGCCTAGAGAGGGAGGGGAATGGATGTAAGGCTGTGGTTAAATTTAGAACCTTGAATCCAAAAATAAAACAGTCCCTTTGCTCTCCCCACATCTGTTCTACACCTAACCACCCTGGAAATCTATGAATGAATAACACGGGAGGATGGCTCAGAAGACGAGATGCGTAGGTTTGTTTTATCCGTTGGTAGATATTAGTGTGTTTTCCCCTGAAGGAATCTACAAAATTGCAGAGTACAGGTTCATTTAGATGTTCTCTTCAGAGATTCTATATGTTCATTTTTGTCTTTGTTTAGCACCTTTTAAACCCTTACCACACATGCACTGTATCCTTTTCTCAACACAAAGTCAGATACAAGTCCGACTCATCATTTTATCAATGTAACAAATACTTTTCAGCTTTCAGAAACACGATACACAGGAATGATACAGGCACTCATACAATTTCACAAATAATTATAGCTGCTGCGCAGCAATGGTCGGGGCCGGGCAATTTTAGGCAAAATTAGGCAATTCTGAGCAACAAGCAGAGTGTAGGAAGATGAAAAAAAGGTGGCATTCTAAGCATAAGACACTATGCTCTATCTCACTGAGCTAATTAGCAAGAGACAACTCTGCAGTATATATATGTTTAAAACTTCTTCTAGCTCATTATAGGAATGCTACAGCTGCAATGATTAGTCAATAAATCACATAGCATGATGCCTGAACATAGGACTTTCACATTAGAATGTCCATTCTGCCTTAGCTGAGGCTTGAACTCACAACTTCTGAGACTGAGGTCCATCTTCTATCTCGCTGAGCTAACTGGCAAGTGACAGTTCATGTGTGGCTTCACAGATTGACTAAGCCAAGCATCAGGGTGCCAGACAGTAGCCATCCATGCCATGGAAAAGCAAATTTCAAAGTGAAAGTTTCAAAGCTGTAGCACATATGGTTGATTAGTTATGAAGTTCTGAAATTTAGAGGCTTGCTGTAGCGCCACCTTCAGGACTATTGTCTTGTGTTTCCAGTTGAGGACATCTGGCATGGGACTGGACCTTTATGAAAAGTTTGGGTAGATTTCTCATATAGAAATATTGCACGAGCTGAGGCTTGAACTCACAAAAACACCAAGGACCATCCTCTATCTCACTGAGCTAATTGGCAAACTGAAATGTCACATGTAGCTTCACAAATTGACTAAGCCAGTCACCTGTGTGCAAGACAGCAGCTGTTAGTGTGTAAAGGTAGATTTCAAACGGCTGTCAAAAATTCTGTTATTAAGACAAAAATCCGAAAATACACAAATTGCATCTAGACAGCATGGATATGTTGGTAATTTGTTTGTAACAATAATTGATTTGCTCCGTAAGTGAAAACCTGATGTTTAAAAATGCCATTTTTGCATTGACTCCAATTGTTCGCATGAGAGCAAAATTCAAAATGCTGTAAAAAATTCAGTTTTTGAGATAAAATTCTGATATTTTCCAAACATCATCTACCATGACTCCAAAATTTTGTCTTTTTTTTTTTTTATGAACATTGAAAATGTGATGGACTTCATAATTTGCAATAGGTTTAAATGTACAAAAGTTTCTTCAATATTGGGGTTACAGTTTGGTGAAAGTTGCAAATCTGTAGCACATATGGTTGAATTGTTGTGAATTTTGTTGTGAGTTGACAAAAACTGTCTGACTATACACATTAACACAGGAGAAAACTGTAACGAAAAAAAACTATATTGTGATATATTTATATGTAAATGGTTTTACAAGCTGGTGGATATGAGCGTAAATCTACTGTTTTACATACTGTTGGATAATATATCATTCAACTATGCACTGTATTGTCTACTGTGACTATGTTTTGTATGTAAAACATTAATCTAAAAAGTACTGTTAAATAAATATATGATACTATACTGTGCTATGCTATGCTATGTTGTGCCATACTATACTATACTATAATATACTACACTACACTATACCATGCTATACTACACTGTGCTATGCTATGCTGTGCCATACTATACTATACTATAATATACTACTCTACACTATACCATGCTATACTACACTGTGCTATGCTATGCTGTGCCATACTATACTATACTATAATATACTACGCTACACTATACCATGCTATACTACACTGTGCTATGCTATGCTGTGCCATACTATACTATACTATATTATACCATACTATACTATGCTATGCTATACTATGCTATACTATACAATGCTACACTATGCTATGCTATGCTATGCTATGCTATGCTACACTCCCCCTATGCTACACTATACTACGCTACACTACACTACTCTATACTACACTATACTATGCTATTCTATGCTATGCTACACTACATAATGCTATGCTACGCTATGCTTCACTACACCAAACTACTAAATACTATGCTATGCTATACTATGCTATACTATACTATTACTACTGCAATTCCATGCTATGCTATGCTACAGTACACTATATTACGTAATGCTATGCTATGCTATGCTATGCTACACTATGCTATGCTAAACTATATTACATTACACTACACTACGGCATACTACACTATTTCTACAAGGCTAGACCGGATGACGGCTGGACCGGTAGTCAGATTGTGAGAAGTGGGTTTTGTCAACCACAATGACCATGTGCAGTTTTCAGAATTTGAACTAAGCATTGTTTGCTTGTTGAAGGAAGCATCTTCAAATTGGTTATCATTATTTATTAAGTCACTCTTGTAATGTTTTTATTGACCCTTACTTCTGTAAATGTGTTTTTCTTTTCTGACATTGTTTGCTAACAGAAGTCAGGTCACTCATAACTAATCTGATGGATTTAAGTAAAAAATAAGACTATTAAATTACCTGGTTGTGGTGAAACTATATTGCTTTGCTATTATATTGTTGTTGTATTGTTCTGTTCTGTTCCTTTAATCTTCCCACCTGAGTATTAATTACACGTTGACCATTGAGGGGAGCTGTTGGCCCTTGGGACACAAGCTGCTGTATATTTACACACTGCACATGACATTTCAGCAAATGATTTCTCCTTTGTATTACAGTGACTTTATACTGTGATATGTATTATTATTTAATTGTCTTTGAGAATTTTAGTGTTGTTTTATTCTATCTTATTGAACTGGATTTAATCCACAAAAGATGTTTTGAAATGTGGTAAATAAACATAGTGAAGTTCCTATTTTTCTGTTTGAAGGGAGGTGTGATGGTCAGGAAGCTGATTCGCATTTTATAAGCATGTCTGAAAATTCAGTTAACTAAAGACAGCTTTGTTCAGGAAAATGATGAATGAGACACTTGTCATTAAAAGGAAACCAACTATGACAAATACAGAGAAATACAGATGTAAGCATGGATGGATTACTGAACAGGCCTATTAGTCACAGACCCAGGGGCCTAAAGTTTTGGGGACCATCCTGGAAATCATTGGCGAAATGTCACTCATATTAGTGACAAGGAAAATACTGCAATTACTGCAAACAGACACAAAAAGTGCATAAAGAGATGCAAAGGAACCACAAAGAGACACAAAACAACCAGAAAAGACACACTATTAACTCAAAGGGACATAAAACCACAAAAAGGTGCTACATGACTAAAGAAAGACGCATAACTACAACAGCAAAGAAGCAAAACCCACCACAAAGTCTGTGTTGTTTTGCTCCTGTGTAGGAGAAGTGGTAGGCCCTTTTGAATATCTGTGGCCAGGGGCCCATTGTCTCGTAATCTGCTCATGGACGTAAGTAATTATTGCACAATAAGGCCATTCAGGAAACTGCAGTATTCAATTCAGACTGGACTTCTCAACTGGATGCTTGCAGACTGTTAACCTGAAAACTCCAGATGTGTCACTTTGCCTCTGTGAGCAGAGAGTTGACGCCTGCAGTGTGTCAGGATACACAGGCATAGATACAAGAGCTGAGTGACAGGCCACTTCACCCTCACAGTCCCTCAGAGTCACCACTGATCTTTACAGCCTCATCTGTAAAACTATATAACTTTATACAATATTTACTTCTTCTTCTTTGTGTTTTACCTCTGATGTGAGATGTCGTCACTGACAAACAATTCTCATACACATATGTTTATGAACAATTTATTTTTTACAGCAATTCATTATAACATACAGAGTTTCATGTATTTGTACAAAACATTTCTTAACATGTAAATAATCAAAATGGTTCTCAAAGGTTAATGACATTGTGTATACTTGCTATTTTAAATATTACACTGCAATTATATGTACAACTTAAAGAGAACTTAATCATGTCCAACACAAGGAGAGTCAAACGTTAGAGAGAAGGTACAGGCCTTCTTTCAAATGTTTCAATGTTCAATGTTATAAAACAAAATGTGACCCTCATATTAAAAAGAATGCTTAAAAAGACATTTTAAGATAGAATTTACACTGATATGTACGGAAGCCCATTTCCACCACTTAGTATCCCTTAGTATGTGTTTGAGATATTAAGTCATTATTTTAAGATATTCAATTTAAATTTTGAGATAAGAAAATCATTATTTTGAGAAACTTAGTCATTATTATGAGAGCATTTCTCATTATTTTGTGACACTAAGCTTTTATTTAAAGAAACTTTTCTCATTATTTTGAGAAAGTTTCTCATTACATTTGAAAAATTGTCATTATTTTGAAATGCTACATCATTATAATGAGAAATGTTCTCATTATTTTTAGTTATGAAGTTATTATTTTAAAACAGTTTCTCATTATTTTGATAATAATTCTTATTTCTTGACATTTTGATACGACACTACGTCATTATTTCGAGAAAGATTCACATTATTTTGAGATACTAAGTCATTATTATGATACTTAGTAATTATTTTAAGTGTTTTTCAATATTTTTGAGATATTAAGTGTTTTATTTTTATTTTTTTAGAGTTTCTATTTATTTATTTTTATTTTTTATTTTTTTGGATTAATGAATTTTTTTTTATCACAATGGCAGAAATGGGCTTCCACAGCTATGTGTGTGCACCCACATTTAAAAATACATACTGGGCACCACATTGACCCAGGGCCTAAGACGCATACATTGTAATTACTACATCCTCCTCTGCCTTCCCTCTTTTGTCTTTTGTCTGTAATATCACTTACTGAACCCACTGTGCGGCAGTAATTATGCTATTCACAAGATGCAATTCATCTTATTGGCACATTTGATTAAGCACCTAAAACAATAACTACAATTTTCATGAGTAAATCCTGACATTTCAGTATTCCTCCTGCCTACAGATATTTTCTCTCCAGATGAGTCTTCCCCAGCACCTCGTCGCTGAACTGGTACGTCAGCTTCTTCTTTATCTTTTTCACCTCTCCAGTTTTGCCGTAGTTGCGCAAAGCACGAGCCATCTTCTGATAGGTCATTTTTTTGCGGTTTCCTTTCTGGATTCCCCAGCGGTGTGCGAGAGCCTCCTTGTGTTTGGAAGAAAACTGGAATGTCCCTTTGTCTCTGTCCACCCACCAGATACTGTCCTTCATATCACCGTTCCTTAAAAGGTCCAACAGGAACTGGTACAAACGGATCTTCTTTTTATTCCCTGTTGGAAACATCAGAGAGTTGCAACAATAATCATGAAACCCACTGCAATTCTATATATTTATGTACAGATTTAGCTTATAACCTGTTTATTATAAAAACAAATATAAGAAAAATGAAATCAAGCTTGTAATATATATATATATATATATATATATATATATGTATGTATGTGAGATCTCAGACAGGCAAATTAGTAAAAAAAAAAAGGAACTCTTTTTGTTGCACAGAGGCACAAAATATGTTTTCGGTTCTAGGTTTTGTTTTATATTTAATATGAAGCAACAAAATAACAAAAAAAAAAATAAACTAAAATTCTGCAAAACCCTGGCTGATGTAATCCTCTGTGAGTCATTGATTTTGTGTTTTCCACATTATCATGGTGCTTCGTGATAAACCTACAAAGAGGGTACTCAGTAAGAAACCTTGTGGTTGCCATTACTTAAGTTGCAATACATGGTCATGTAAGGAACATACATGTTGCGGTCCTGGTTAACCTTGCCTGAATCCTGAGCCAGACTGATAGTCTTCACACTTGAAGAGCCACTTATCTATTTGTCTCAAGTCAAACCTGCACCCACATATTCCAAATGTACAGGGACTCTGTAAGGCCATGTTTAGATTAAAACTGGCATTAACAAAAAATTGCAAAGGGCTGCCTTGATGTGGGACAGGTTAAATAAGTACCAGTGAGGTACATGACATACAGTCAGTGCCGCTGAATGCTCACAGAGGTGCTTGAATAAAAAGGAACCTTGCACAAATATGAACAGAGTAAATTATGCAAATATTTGGCTACCAGCGCTGCATACATTCTGTACCAGACACTACTGAGACAAAGCAGGTCCTGTCAGGTCCTAAACCAGCCAAAAGAGGAACTAGAGAGCAAGTGTGTAATCGCAGTGGGATGCACCCCCGGCATGTGACAAATGGAAGTTTGTTACCCACCAATATTAGTAACGACGAGTCATCAAGTGGCTCTTAAAGCCCAAGGAGAGCTAATTTTCTCCCCTCAATATTCAGTGTTAAACCAACATCAAACACACTGGATGCTCACTGAACTTCTCCTGCTTTATGTCGGTGTTCATGTCAACCAAAAATATAAAACATGACAGCTGTGCACCTGACCATGCACAGCTGATTACTCACAGGTCTAAGTAAAACACTGTTTGAAGTGCAGCGTCACTGATGCACACGTTAGATTGAAACCAGTGTTTTACTGCTGTTGTTAATGAACACATCTGGACAGGTGTTTGTTAGCGTAACAGTAAGGAAGATGATCCCAGTTTTCACTCAGTCAGTCGCCTTTTGAAAACTGAGTCTGTAGTTTGCAGTGTGTATCATTGTGTTGGTGGTAAAAACCAAGTGGCAACCTCCAAGGCTGGAAAAGTAGGCTGAAAAAGAAGTGCCAAGAAATGCAGTTCCTCTAATGGCCACTTGAGGCTGGCTCCAGAAGCGAGTCAGTCCCCATAGACCCCCATGTTAAAATGCCCAACTTTACAGCAGAAATTAACACGTGCAGCCTGGTACAAAAACAATTTTGGTCAATAGCTAATTTTAACATTCATGAGGAAGGTGAATTTTTATGTAACTCACCATTTAAATTTCATTAAGGTTCAAATTTATACATAATCAAAGGCAGGCCACTTTGAGTGACAGCCTGCCTGCCAATAGTCTCCTCGGCCTCTCAGTCAGATCCACCCCTCACTACACCACAGCACCACCCTCTCGCCCAAATATGGTCACTTCTAGCACCAAATAACCAAGATGGCAATAGCCAAAGTGCCGAACTCGAAAATGGGAGTCCACAAGTCAATGTGTGACGTCACAGTAGCTATGTCCATGATTTTTACAGTGTGTCCTATGTGTTGTGTTTTTACTGAACATCCAACACGCAGCTGCTGGTTATAGAATTAATACTGAAAATGTTTAGCTGTTTTCACAAATCACACTCATAGACAGTATATAACAAATGGTTATCCATTTGAATACAAATAGGAGCTAATACAGCCTCATTTCTTAGATCAGCAACATTGACTGTTAGCCATTATTGCTTCATTTTAACGTGCTGATGGCTGTACATATTCATGTAGTAGGGCTTGGTTAAAGATGACAGAGTAGACCAGATTACTGAACAAAAGCTCTAACAGGGAGCCTCATTACCACTGGAGAAAGCCTGCCATTCTCCAAGTACACCTGCTGGATTATTTCCACAATCCAGCATAAGAATCCAGCCTTGGAGACCAAGAACATTTATAACAGACAAACAGCCACTCTGTCTTTTTGTGAGCCCACTTCCGTTAAAGATGCATGACCAGCAGTGTAAAAGCAGTTGTGCAACTAGTAGCTCATCCCAAAAGTGCATCTTAAAATGTCAGCAGAACACAAAGCTGACATGACTCAATGCCAAACCTTCACTATCCCTCAGCGAGGAAGAAAACACTGGCCCGCTGCTTTAGATTCTTGACTGAAGACTCTAAAGCAAGTCCAGTGACTTAACACTTCTAGATATACCATGACCTGGATGTCTGAGAATCCTCACATTGCCAGCACAGTTGTTTCTCTTAAAGTATCCGTGTTAACGGCTCAGCAGAGAGCTGAAGTGCTCCCCCGCTGCACATATGGAACGGCCTATAAAAATCTATATTCTTACCCAGCTCTCCTGGTGTGACATAAGGGACTCGATCTCTCAGACACTCCTCATCAGACACCTCGAGCGGGGGACTTCGTCCTTCATGATCCTCGTCATCAGAGCTGCGCTGGGACACGTGTGGTGGATACACAGCTCGAGGGAAGAACGCTACCTATGAGACAGGAGTCAAAGTTCATTAAATAAAAACATCCACAAGTGTTTAACTCATGAAGCATTTATGTGGTGTCGAAATAATCATAAAAATTAGTCCCTGACTGGGTAAATTCATGTCAACACTCCCTCAAGTTGGAATAACAACTCAGGAAAGTTGGTCAAAATTTTTGTCCACGACTTGCCAACTTTCATATAAGCAGAGACATTGCAGACAAAGATAAATGTTTGGTTAATGGTACAAAAGCTTTTATTGATTCACTTATTGCATATAGTTTTTTGTCTTTTTAGGTAGATGTTATTTGCTGTTCACACAGAGTGACTTAGATTAATTATAGAAGTTTTTATTAGCATTAACCCTGCTAACAAGTCAGGTAGAGCAATATTTCAGTGGTTTTAGGGAATGTTCGACCTATTTATGGGTTGTTTAAATGCTCTGAGCAATAAAATACAACTAACTGTCTTTGCAGCATCAGTGTTGGTTCCACATTGTGACTTAAAAACTCATGAACACACTGGAGTCATAATAACGACCTCCCAACCTGGGCATCGGGACCATCTGAAGAGCATGTGAATGCAGTATTAGCTTGTTGAGCATATTAAAATTCCCTTCATGTTTCTCCAAAGTTTAGATAAAAAAATATAGTTTTCCATACTGTTTGAAAATGTTACATATATTGTCTGTATTGGTTTGCAAAGACAATATGGCGCAAATGTCCCACATTTGAGTGTGTGTGTGTGTGTGTGTGTGTGTGTGTGTGTGTGTGTATGTGGGGGGGGGGGGGTTGTTACACAATTATGCCAACAGCAGAAAAAATTAGTATCATTTCATGTAATTCAGCACAATGTGTACTGGTAAAATACTGGAACTGGGAAAATAAAGCTTGGCTGTAAAACATACAGCTGTCATGATGGATGCTCAGTTAAATCTGGGAATGAACAAATAAATAATGTTTCAATTACTAGTGGAGTTTTAAGCTACTTGTAAGTATTACTATTTTAATGGAGCTTTATATGATACCTGTCTGTTGTCTGCACACGGCTCTCAACATGGAGGTGTCTGAACTAGTGGCTAGCAGCTAATGGTGCTAACAGCACGAGCAGTGCTTACAATGACAACAGTGCTGACAGAGCTAATGTAATTAATCTTGGGGGAACCAAAGGGTGGGTGCTACACCTTAGCAACACTGCTGTCTCAATATCAGCTGTAACAGCTGACCGCAGTGCAGAGTGTCAGCAATTAGCTAACCACATGCACACATGGCTGCCACGACAAAGAAGAGAGAAGCTGGAATTACCACACACGGAGGTAGCGTGACTTTGCTCTCTGCTTAGTACACCATTACTTCACTGTGTGTTTACCTATCAAGTAGTTGTTTTCTGCCATATGTGACTGCTGTATATAGAGATTTGTTAAGATACTTTATACTGCTACTCCACTTCATTTCAGAGGGAAATATTGTACGTTTTACTCCATTACATCTTTTTAAGTCACACTCACTATTTTGCAGATTAAAATTTTACATACAAAACATATGATCACTTTATAAAACATGATGCAGACACTAGGGCTGCCTCCCAGTGGTCGAACAATAGTTAGTCGGGCAGAAAGGTCATTAGTCAGCGAGATTTCATTGGTTGCTTAGTCGCACAAAAAAAAAAAAAAGTGGAACTCTATTAGGAGCTGCGCCTTGTCAAAATAAATCAAAACCTATATGACTGGACCATGTGGGAATTTTATTTGAAAGGACAGACACAGGAAGTGGCCACGCTCAGCAGTCAGACAGGAGTCACGTTAATTTCCAGGGCTGGTACCTGAGGTTATTCCACAGGCTAGTTAATGACATGTCGAGCAGGAAATCCAAAGTGTGGGATCATTTTGAGAAGGTGAAGGATGAACCCAAGGTGATATGTAAACTCATCTTCATTGGTCGACTACAAACATGACGTATCATCTGAAACATGGAAGTAGCTACATGCCCATTAGCCACTTAGCACAATCATTACTGCTTTGCCGACAGCGTCATTAACAGGCGGCTCGCTCAGTGTGTGATGTGCACTTGTAGATGAAATATAGGCCTGTATTAATGAAGGTTCATTAGGACGGTTTTGTATTTCTCTGTAATGTAGCACAGTGTTAACAATGTTACTGATACTATTCTTTCTCACACCTTCAACTCAAACCATTGTGTTGCCCCGCCCAACATATATCATTTAATAACTGAATTAACATTGCAAACATGCAGGTGACTAGTCGACTAATGGCCCTAAATGATGACTATTGGTCGACTAGGAAAATTCTTGGTTGGAAGCAGCCTTAACTATGACTAATAGGAACCATTCTGCATTATGAGCACTTTAACTTTATCACTTTTAGTATATTTCATTGCTAATGCTTCTGTATTTTTACTTAAGTAAAGTTTTGAAAGCAGAACTTGTAACAGAGTATTTTTGTGGTGTGGTTTTGATACTTTTTGAGGAAATCCACTGAATACTACTTCCACTGGTGATGGTATTTATGTGTCAACCTCAACCTTAAACTTTGAAATCAAATAGTTTTTCATGCATTTTTGTTTTAATTCTCCAACAGCCATGTCTGACACTTGAAGTATTTTGGGATGTTTTAGGGCATGTTGTTATTTTCAGAAGCATGACTATGCTGCTACTTCTTTATTATACTGTGATCAAAAGCAGACACTTTCTGACATGTTTGCAGTGAAACTTTCCCACTGTAAGTGTGGGTAAACCTGACAGAGGCAACGTTTCTCTGCATGAGCTGTGATGTGAGGAGCTGCTATAGCTGTATGCCTGGGTGGGCAACAGTTGTCAACATATTCACCCTTTACACAAAACAGTCAGTGGTAGAAACCTAAATGTGAATTCCATGTGTGAACTGTGGTTTTCACAATATATTCTCATACACCGTTTCAACTAAAGTGTTAACACCAGGTTGTGTGTTTCCACACACAAACACATTTTCCTCTGGTTGTAAAAATGGCAGTCCTTTTTTTTTCAAAAGGGAAATTTCACCCGCAAAAAAAACTATCATGTGACTTACAAGCACACAGGCTTTGTGCCCTCTTTATGAAAGGCATGTGTTATAGGATATAAATATGTGTCCCATGCTTCAAGATACATTAAAACATTCAACTATGAACTCATTATAAATCGATGATTAGTCACAACACAATCCTAATCAATTTGAGGTTCACCTGTGGTAGAACCACTTAAGGAAATTACATGAAATTAAATGCAATTTTGGCTCAAAATATGATCTCTAAGTGAAAAATATGTTGTTAACTATCATCTATTCCTGAAAACAACTATGACTATTAAAGTATGAACACAAAGATTCCCAAGTAATGCCAGATAATTATGCATTATGCCATATGTTTGACATTTTACCACTTCACTTCACTGTATCTGCTTGTTCCAGCACTTTACTGAAGCTACATCTCACTGAGTGAAATATTTAAATCCACGACACCTTTGGCCCCACTGTGACCTCAGTTGGAGCTGCAGATGCATTCAGCCGGACATATTCAGTGTGTTTAAAAAGCCTCTAATCCTGACTAGAATTTTAAATGATTGGCAACAAGAAACAGATTCATTCTTTTAAAATCAATATGCTCATTTCAAATCTATGACAAGCACTTTAAAAAATGCCTGTGAGATGAGATGTGCTATATAAATGCATTTGCTCTCTGCCTTTTTCATCTCTACTGGTCAACATAAGCTCATAGTGACAAGCAAGTGAAGAGGTTTCCGATCTGAAAATGTTGACTTGGTGAGAGATACTGCAGTCCAAAACCAGAGATCTCTGTTCTGGTTCACTGGCTCACAACTGCACGGGTGGAGCATGCAGTTGCGATACTGACTGAGCTTTGATGAGCCCTCAGACTCTATTCAAAGAAAAATGCTCTTTTTAAAATGAAATTAAAAAAAAAAAAAAAAAATAGTTTTTCTTGTAACTTAAAGATTCACTTCCTGATTTTGGTCACAGGACCCTAAAAGGCCTCAAATTCTCCGAATGTCCTCTCTGATTTAAAACCCCACTGTAATTATGTTGAGTTTGAAGAAAATCTCCAGTGAGTTGGAAGGATATTTGGAGATTTAGAGGTATGTATGAAGGTTTTAAAGCATCTGTGTGCCATTTCCCATCAAGCAACAGTCTGTTCCTTGGAATTGTACTCAATCAGTACAACACTATGCTCAGGAAAACCTGACTTGAGTCATCATAACTGTTATAACTTTAACAATGACTAATTGCAGTCATTACACTGAAGCACCTGACTAATAATACATAACTCATCAGTAAGTCTGTGTTTGTTGTGAGCAGGTACATGCACCCGTGTGTGTTTGTTCCTTTAATGTGTGTTTCTGCTAAATGACAGGACTTACTGGTTGCTGTAACACATGTGGATGCGCCCCAAGATTTGGATCGAGCAGGTTTTCTGCGTCGTATCGTATGGTGTCGTGTCGTATGAGGCCGGGCGGGTGGAGAGCCTGCACACTCTGCAGTTCTGTGAAGTTGGCCTCTTGGAGGTTTTCAAACTCTACAGGGTGTACATGAGGGTGAGGGTGGTAGTCCCAGTGATCTGAACAGATAGAGGGAGGTGAGAAACAGCATAATGGCCACAGCTTTTTGTTGTCTAGGTTAGGTTTGCTATATGAGGACTGCTTTCCTGTCTTGACAAAGAGCTGTACTCAAACAAATGAAAGAGACAGATACTGAACACACAGCTTCATACAAAAGTCATGAAAATGCCTTTTAAATAATTTGATACAGCAAAAGCACATGTTTAAACGACTGGAGGTGACTAAGGAAGAAAAGCCAGACTGTGTGTCAATGAAAATCAGTCTTTGTCATAAGATATCTAAAACCACTAAGTCAAAAGCAACTGGACTTGACGACGAGCTGCTTACTCATAGTGCTTGAGTTTGCATAAACCGAGTGAAAAGAGGAGAATAATAGAGAATTCAGCATGAAGCTCTTTCCTGTTTGTTAACAGTGTTGCCACAGACATTTACTGTGAATTTGCACTCTTCTATTTCATGCTGTTCCCCCAGAATTAAATAAGGCAAGTTCAAGTTTTACATATCTCGAGTGTAAGCAAGGAAAAAGAGGAGAGCCAAATAAAAATTATATTATATATTGTATTTCACATGCAAACCCCTTCAAAGTTCAAAGTTCAAAGCTGGTCAAATGAACAATTGCAAGAGCAGTCACTGCCTTTGAAAAACCTGGGTCATAATAAAACCACACATGTAGAAACAAATAGAATCTAGATATGAGGATGTAAAGTAGTACAAGTTAGACTAAAGGATAAGTATAACATTAATAAAATATGAATTAAAGTAATATAAATGTTGCAATGTAGCAGAATGTATTGCAGTAAAATGTGTATGCATAACAAGAGCAACTAAAACTACCTCAAAATAAAGTGTATACTCTTAAATATAATAAATCAAACTAGTCATTAAAGCCATGCCATACATTCACTGTAACACTGTAACATCACTCTCCTATATGTAGCATCTCAGTTTATCATTTTAAATTTATTAGACATAGACAGACACATTTAGATTTTAGACACAAGATATTTTTATCCCAAAGACAACTGACGCTTTCTCAGTGGGGGCGTTTTCTCTGCTAAAAGGTCAGGAAAAGTATTTTTCCCCCCCTTCTGATATTGTTTTGGTGCAATATTCAAAACAGTTGATTACAAGAGAAAGTAAAGCACCTCTCTTGTATCAAGAAAACCCCAAGGGGCGAAAGTTTGTTCTATGTCTGTAAATTGTAGCGGCCGAAAGAAATGGCATCTGTTTCCTGTGTTCCATACAAGCTAATGTGGTGCGCTCCAGCTGCACACACACTGCAGGCTTTTTATGTGCGATGCACCAGAAAAGACCACATCAGGTCATGGTGATTAATTTGAAGATTAAGACTTAAATGAAGCTTATCTTAATGAAAATAAAATACATTTAATAAAAATTTGAAAGCACTGTTTTGAAAGCACCATGTCGTGTAATGTTTGTCCACACACTGATCATGAATTTGCATTTTAAAATGTTTTTTAATTCAAACTTATCTCTTTGTAATCTAATAGAATAAGTGGCGGGTTCAATTGAAACACTGATCACATGAGACAAAATGCATGTTGAAGTAAAACTCACCTGCCTGGATATCTGTATCTAAGACATATGGATTATAATATTCTGCTATTTGATGTCTGTAGATCTCAGGATCGTACATTTCTTCTGAGTGCTGCTGGAGCAAATAAAAAGACATTTTCAGCCACAAAAAAACTCTCAAGAGTAAAAAACATTTTACTGGATGGTGTATATGATGCAGACAACACACATTATATCATTGCCTATTTAATTACCTACAGAAAATACTAATAATCTCCATTTGTCTTTAATAAAATGTTCACATTGTGTCTAAATATGTTTAGATTTGTAAATCAGACGAGGCATTAGTCACATTTGTGTTATAATAATGACTTTTTTTTCTTGCCACTGCTGTTCTGAAACTCTGAAGAAGTTTTGAGTTTCATTTTCATGTCGCTCATAGTATAAAAGACTCTTACAGTTTGTGTGCTGTCTTCAAAGTGAAGCAGACTTACATTAAGTCTTGTTATTTGAAATAACACACACTGTCATTCCTCTTGATTAACAAATGCGTTTCTGTTTAAAGCTGCATTTAAAAAAAACAACTCGAGGAACTCTTTTAAAGCCTCAGATGCTTGACAGTCTACAGAGAATGTAGATAATGATAAAAATAAAAGATACTTACGGGTGGGATGAGGTAGCTCTCCATTCTGTATGGATGCAACATGGAGACCTCTCCTCCAACGGACCGACTCGCAGACGCTTTGCAGGCAAAACCCAACCTTTCAAAACTTTTGCGGCACCATTGCACAATGTTTCAAAATTTCCTCTCAACGAAAACCCAAAAATCTCTCTCTCTCTCTCTCTTATTGTATAGCATACACTTTTGACCTAAGCTACTCTCTCAGGCCTTCAGCTGTGTCACATAAAAAGAAATAAACAAGGCCCGCTGTTTGACTGTAGAATGAAAAAGGAACTTTTTGACTTCTGTAAAAAACTTTCTGTGGGTGGGAGCAATAGAGTGTGTCTGCTATAAGGTTCCTGGCCATTGATGATTTGTCAGGGGAGACCATGAAACCTCACATTTATCAGGGTCTATACTGTCCCCTCCCTTAGCAGTCATCATCATCATCAAGGGTTTTCCTCACTGACAGTTTCTCCGCTGCAAAAAACAATGTGATTAACACAAGAGTATACAATGAGCTTAATATTTAATTATTTAAATGTGGTTGACTTGATTCATTTCCTTTGCCTTTTAGCTGTTGTTCATTTAAATTGTGGCACGTTGTGGTCTGCAGGAGATTCAGAGTGTGTTAAAATGTGACTGCTGCCATATAGCAGGGTTTATAAACAGCATTTTATACCTTTAATTGCAAACTATAATGTAGTCATATGCACATAAGAGGACATTTTCAAGTGTTTATAACTGTTGTTGTTGCTTATGCTGATGTATAAAGCAGATAATAATATATGAAACAATATAAATATGTCTTCATTGAGGGAAGTTATACTTGTTGACACACAATGTCTGTTAATAAACACTTGTGAATAAATGTCCATATCTGGCTTGTAAATGCTGAACTGAAGGGTTTCAAGTAATGTGTTACCAACTGCAACACTATTATTATAATAACAAAGTAACTATGTTCACTAAATGTATAACATATTGTGTTTTTTGCGAATAATCTGAAGAATCAGAATTAAAATAAGCTATATTAAACATGTATGTTTACGCATACAACGACTTTGACTCCAGCAGCTTACACACAGTGCAAATTAAAAAAAAACATAACAAGATAAAGCATTAAGAGGTACAGTAAAGACAGCATTTACTGTGACAATAGATATTATTTTTTTTGTTGTGAGCACACTGTGTGTGAAGTGTAAACAGCCATGTGTTCGGGGTGTGACTGCTGACCTGAAACTGACGGACTGAGAGTTTACACTGTAGCAAAATGACTAAAACATGCTTTTTGGTGATGTGAGCAGGAGTTTGATGAGGAATAATGTCAACACACAAGCACACACTCTCACACAGACACAGACACAGACACAGACACACACACACACACACACACACACACACACACACACACACAGCTGGAAGATAAGATGAAGGTATAGTATTTTTGTTGTAACCACACTGGAGGCAAATGGAGATTATTATTATCACAAAGAGGAGATACCCTCCTGTGGGGGCACTGAGTACCTCTGCAACTAGGAAACTGCATAAGTCTGTATGCCTGGATGGGCAACACTTGTCAACATATTCACCCTTTACACAAAACAGTCAGTGGCGGAAACCTATATGTGAATTCCATGTGTGAACTGCGATTTTCACAATATATTCTCATACACCGTTTCAACTAAAGTGTTAACACCAGGTTGTGTGTTTAACAGAAGTTAAATATGTTGTGTGTTTAACAGAAGTTAAATATGTTGCTTTTGGCAATTGCAACAACTAAATACACTGCATATTTCCCAGGCAGTGAGATAACTTGAGTACAGTAGCACAAATCTGAGTGGATATTGTTAGCGCTGCCTGTTTAAGAGGAAGACTGCAGCACTGTGATAAGGCAATGCACTGAAAATATTACTTTCTGCAAGATTAAAATACTGAGGTTATGTTTATCTTCTAACCGAGATCACTGTATTTATACCCATGGGTGCTGAGATCTCAGCTACATGTTAAAAACATGGTCAAATCCTTTTCAAAAACTTAACACAGTCAGGTACATTAAGCATGAAACTGCAGCTTTCTTTGGATGTATGCATGTATAGTTGATCTACCGGCAACATTTATCTCCCTATGCACACTCTGTGTTACATGCTGTTTGACTAAACTGTAAAACTTGATGGTTTAGATAATTCTATCTTTGTGTCTGTTGTAATTTTAAAGGTTTTTATCAGCATGACACTCTGTTTTCCTTGTTAACTGATAAAGGACCATTATGGTCAGAGTCTCTGTTCGGGGAGCTGTTAAAACCACACAGACTGTGGGCAACCTCGACTGGCCCCATCTTAATCACAGCTGGCTGAGCAAAACTGATGACATATACAGTACGGTAGCATTTTCCGAGAGTATTAATACACAGAGTGAGCTGCAGCATGCCAGGCACTATTTCCATCACAACTATTTTCAGTGAAGCCAAAGGATAATGCTTTTTTTGCCTTTTTATTCTGGTGACTTTTTTGTTCATGTCGTGCAAGAACATAACTGAAAAGAAACTCTTTAAAATGGCATCCTAAGTTCATCCTAAACCCTGTCAATGTTTTAATGAGTACAATCCAACTTCCAAAAATATGCTAATTCAAGTTAGTTGCTACACATTGTTAACGTATTAAAAAATTGCTACTAATATTAACTCAACTGATCATCAGTTGGATATAAAAGTTAAGTTTTATTATTTTTAGAGGTGGAAAAAAACACTCAGATTTTTAAGTTAAGTACAAGTAGTTATATCAGTAAAATACGGAAGTATTAGCATAAAAATATAGATCATATGACCATTTTTATAATAATATTCATTATACAATTTTATTATAATTATTGAACGATTGATGTGTTCATTACTTTAATGTTGCAGCTGGTAAAAGTGGAGCTCATTTTAATTTCTTATATTGCTGGGTAGCCTCTGGAAAAGAACTAAGGTCACAATTCTGTATCCTTAGTTCTCACAGGTAGAGCTCTCTACTGGTCTCTATGGGAAACACTACAATTGGCCAATCAGGATGTGTCTACTTGAATATGTGTGAAGCTCACAACATACAAGGCAGCACATGAGGCTGTCCACCATCTTGCACCCTCTTCAGTGAGCGGTGTAGGAGAGACAGGGCCCCTTGGTAGAGGGCACCACCTGTGCCAATAGAACTAGGGTTACAATATCATAACCTTTGTTCTATCTCACACAGACTCTCCTGTACTGGACTCTTTGTATACAGTGGTCAAAGCCTGATGAATTATGCTCTGTCGCGGCATAACATTGACCCAGCCACACTGAAGAAGTAGGAGGCCCCAGCCAACCAAGGTAGCATGCAAGTGAATCAGGTAGAGCCATGGCCTAAACTTGCAGGGGTCAAAAGACAAGCAAAGACACCCTGAACACCATATTTCCCGGGTCATCATGGAATATGGAAACATGTTGTTCAGGTGACCAACAAGTCAGGTGACCCAAACCCAACCCTTTTCACCAGTCCTGTGTCGGTCCAGCAAGCACAGACCCTAAAAACAGACCCTAAAAAAGAGTCTGACATGTTCAAGAGATAGAATCATGAACGCTCAGGGAATAGACCAAGATGCTGTTGTTCATATGTCCTCAATATGCAACCTGCTCAACAAGACTGTCGACACTGCCAAACCGTGTTTAGAGTGTGTGGACCACAGTGGTAGAGTCCCAGCTGGCCTGCCTGAAGGCTTGGGAGATGCACTCACAATGCCATCCGGCAAGGCATTTCTTGATTAGGGCCTTACAGATCGCACTATCATCAAAGCACACAAACAGCTGTTCAGTGCGTCAAATAGGAGCAGTGCGTTCAACATGACATGCCAATGCACATACTGGGCAAAGCAGATGTAAGTTTACCTCCCTGTCCAGCACATGGGATGAAAGACAAAAAACATCTAACTGTATAATTCTTGACCTGAAAGAACTCCTTAAGTTCTTGGGAATAAAGGAATGATTTGGTCTAAGAAAAGCCCCCCCTGTGGTCACCACCAATCAGCAAGCAACTGGGGTGCACCAACAGGGCAGTCGGTAGTAGTTCACACACCGTCTTAGCTGAGGTCAACTCAAGCAGCAAAGCTGTCTTGAGTGACAACACCTCTAGAGAGAAGCACTCCAGAGGCTTGAAGGCATCCTTCACCAAGGCCTCCAGCATTAATGGCATGTCCAATTGCAGGGAGGAGGAATAAATCGCCAGGTGTTGTCTAATAACCCTCTGCAAGAATTGTTTCACAAGAGGGTGGGCAAAGACCGGTCTGTCACCAAAACCCTCATAGCAGGAAGAGATAATGGCCGCATACACTTTAATAATGGCATATGACAGCCTTCTATCCATAAAACACTGCAAAAAGTAGAGCCAACTGAACATGGCAGGGGATCTAGCCTCCTTTCCTCACAACAGCATTGGAACCCCTACCACTTTGCCTTGTGACAGTGTTGGATCCCACTCTTGCTGCCATTATGGTCTGCAAAACCTGCACAGACAGAGCCTGTCTCTCTCAGGAGCCAAGCCTGGAGAGGTTGACCCAGATTGGGCAAAATGGCTATTGTACCCAGACTCTTAAGACAGAGACCCCAAGGACTGGGGGATGGTCCAGGGCTTGGCCGCCACCATTTCTGCATACCACGGCACAGAGTGGCAACCTGGGGTTATCAGCATGACCAACAACTGCATCTGACTCATTCTCTCCAACAGGGGAGGGATGAGATGGAGCGGCAGAATGGCAGAAATCAGCTTTCTTGGCCATGGTGCGCAGGCAGACGTGTCCACCCCCAGGGGTAGCTCATCATGTGGTACCAGGGAGAACCAGAGTGGGCAGTGGATGTTGCATCGATAGGCAAATAGGTCCACTTCTACTTCCCCCGACTGGGTCCACATCTGCTTCACCACCTCAGGGTGTTCCTGTACAGTGGAGGGAATGGTAACCAAGCGTTGCTTGTGCTTTTCAGCATCCAGGCAAAGGCTGGCAAACCTGCAGGCACTACATATGCAGTAGCCCCGGCAGTACCATGCTAGAAATGTTGATGGTGTACTAAGGTGAGATGCTAATGTACCAGCCACTGATGTGATGTTGTCATCATCTAGAAAGAAAGCTGTTGTCTTAAAAGGTACAACTGGAGGCAACGGCAGAGTGATGGCAGTTGATGTGGGGGTCTCAACGTCATTCATCTCAAGCTCTGGCTCCCTCCAATGGGAGCAAAGCATCATGTCGAAGCGTCTGAAGGGATTCCAGCACTGCTGCTCTTTAAACTTGGGCCGCACCTGGCAAGCCTTGCAAGCTGGTGGCTGCTGAACACTGTCCTCTGCATGATCTGAAC